GCAGACTCCCTGCTGAGCAGGGAGCCCAATGCGGGACTCGATCCCGGGACTCCAGGATCATGACCTGAGCCGAAGGCAGTCACTTAACCAACTGAGCCACCCAGGCGCCCTCTGCCACATTTTCAATTCATCATGCAATTAAAAACGTTACTCAACCTAACAACACACAAGGGGAAGAAAGAATGTAAAAATGAGATTTCTTTGGTATCATCAACCCATCTCAGTTGGCTCCATTCAGGTACTGCTGTTGGCAATTGGGCCGAGGAGGTGGGGGTGCTGTTTCAAAATGTGCAAGATAACAGGTGGAAATCTAACTTGTGCATTTCCATTAATCAGAGACCTCCTGTTGCTTTGAGCCTCTCCACTGCTTCATTGTACTGCTTAGACGGCTGTGCTACAGGTTAGAAAGATAGTAGTTTTAATGAACATTTAGCTTGAATATGACTTCTCAGGTTTAACGTGGGATTCTTTGGGAGAATAAGATAACTGATGAACATGTTATCTCATGAGGGTTTAAAAAAAAAACTCAAAATACTGCTGCTCGTGACCAAAATAAGGTCTTAGGTTACTCAGTCCCACTGTGCCATGGTTTTCTCATTTGAAAAATAGAGCTGTTATCAATTCTGACTACTTTAGGGGGGATATTGTGACTATACAATTAGATATTAAAACTCTGGAAAAATTACAATAGCTGTAATTGATTTAAATTAAAATGGTGCTTTAAAAATTTTAACATGGAGGAATTGGGAGAACTGCACCGACTTCATTAGCTCTTGTTTTCTGCCCCCCTCTCCAGTCTCACTGTTCCCCTGAGTTGGCTCCTGTCAGGATCACCAGCGATCACCATCTTGGCAGATTTAGTGTTTGCTTCCCTGTGTTCATCTCACTTGATCTTCTGGCCAGCCATGTTCCTTTTTTCCTCCACATGTTAGAGTGTCCCGAGGTTTAGTCCTGGGACCTTACCTGTGCTCACTCTGTAGACTCTCCCCCGATGTCTCAGCTCAGACTTAAGTTTTGCTAAGTCACCTAGTGACTTCCAGATGTACGTCTCCTGCCCAAACCTTGTTATTGTTTCCTGACCTCTTCCAACATCCTGCCGACTCCCCACTGCCATCCTATCATTCTTTATCACATGTTATTTTATTTTCCTCATAATCCTTAATTTCTACATGTCTTTCTCTCTTGGT